GCATGCTACTGGCCAAATATCAACTCCCTGGGCATTTTGGTTATTGAGAAGAAGATGTTTAAAGTTTTTGACATATTTGACCCCTGTGACCTTGAAAATAGGTGAAGGTCATTAATTTTAACAAACTTTGTAGCCCTTCATCCAAGTTTGCTTCTCGCCAAATATCGACACCCTAGGCCTTTCGGTTATTAAGAAGAAGTCGTTTAAAGTAAAATATTGAAGCCGGACGCCGGACGACGGACGGACGACGGCGCCGCGCCACGGCATAAGCTCACTTGGCACTTCGTGCCAGGTGAGCTAAAAATGGCGACACAATGACAATTTAAGTGATCAATCTAGTGCCAGAAAAGGTGAAATTTTGGCCCTTTTTGAAGCACAAGAAATACACATTAATACACATTTTCAAAATGGCCGCCAAATTGGTACTTTTTTAAAATTCTTTTAAAAAAAGTTCTACAAACAACAGGCATCTAGTTTTTTGACATATTTTTCAGATGCTTGTTTGCTAATAAACTTGATCATAAGTTGTTAAATATTACAAAAACCCATTACACCAGATCAAAACGAGACTTGAACGTGATTGAAACCTCAGAAGAGTACATCCTTAATGAGTCGACATTTTAATATGAAATTATTGTTTTTTTTAAAACTGAAATTTTAAGGCTAGTCATACACCAGCTTTGCTTTAAGTATTTTATCACAATAGAAACAACTTCAGTTCTGTATTAAATATATTTTTCAGCAAGGTATGAAAGGCAAGACCAATATGTAGGTAACCTATATTTATTCTACCGCCCCAAACATAATCTAATGCCATTACTGTACATAGGAAAACTTTTTCCCAAAGTAAAATGACTTTTAAATAACTTATCAAACATACTTATTTGACACAAACAAAATGTAGCTAAAATACAACTGGTAAAATAGATTAATAACGAATGATTGGATGCAAACGTTGAATCAACAAAAAGTCAATCAATTTCCTAGCAAACACTTGTACAAAATATCTATTCTTAAACAAAAGTCCTTAAATTCTAATTAACAAAGTGGAATACAAATTAATCTCCGTCTACGTATACTATTTTCAGTTATAGTCCGTGTTAAGCTTGTACATATACAATGTTGCCTCTGGTGCTGTTTGAGATTCCTGATTATCTCCCTTGGACTGTGGCCTGCAAAAACAAGTACAAGCAACTGAATATCTTTATTTTGTCAAACAAACTTACAAAATTATAGATTACTACACATTATGTGACAGTATATTTTGGTAAGGACAAGGAAGTTGTCATTTAAGTAATTTGTTCTACTTGTTACATCACTGACATTCCAGTAAAGATTTAATACTGATTTTCTCACTTTATTAATAGGGTTTATACCGTAGTACAGAAGAGCCATGATAAATCACTAACTATGTTTTCTGAGGATAATTCAGTTGTGTCTCCAGTTGTCACCTAACTGGATAAGCTCATTGCAAGGACATTTTTGTACCGAAATAAGTATCTATCTATCCCCTAACACACTAGCTGTTTTGAAACAGTTAGTTGAATAATCACATATTTTTATATGTTAGAAAAAATATCGCCTGATAGCAGCTGTTTTGGCCAACGAGCACCTTTAAATAAGAACATTTTACAAAACAACTAAATTAGTGGCAGCTTGATTACTGTGACAGTTTCGTACAGAAAAGATGGATCTGTCTCCTTAAATACTGACATGATATAAAGATAACTAGA